AAATTTTATGTATGAAGCAAAAGAACTATGTACTTTTATTATTATTATTTTGTTGGTGATCATCTCTCTCTTCCCCAGACAAGAATAAGTTCATAATTTCTAAAGTTGTTCATTCCTTATTAATTCCTACTTATACTCATATTGGCTCTTCTTTTCCTCTTTGAAAAAAAAAAAAAAAAACTTCTCTAATTTTAAAAACTAAGAAAAGGTAAAAGCGCAGTAGCTGATACATTTTAAATGTGTTAGCTCTTTCTTGTTAGTCAACAGTGATCTGAATGCTGTGACCAAAGATACTTTTAATTATGATTTTTTCTATTTTTATATCAGTTTTTGAAGCATATATTTTCCCATTTTTCTCAGTACTGAAGTTAGGAAAAATTAAGACTTAAAAGAAGGTCAATTGACTTTTCTCAGATCTATGCCAGAGCTCAGACAAGCATGTCTTCTGCCTCTTATCTGGTGCTTCTCTTCAATAAAAGGTGTTGAATGTTTTCTTTGGTTGTAAAATACAATCAGAGCAGTTTTTTGAGCTGACATTTAAGTATTGGCTTAATACTCAATTTATAAGAAGAATATGTGTGTGTGTTTATCACCAAAGAATATCTTAGTTAACCCTGAGCTAAAACAAGGTTTGCTCTTTTTTGTTAAAAATGATGTAGTTAGAAGATGCTTAGAGTTTGAAAATGCTTTTGAGCTCCTGTTATATAACATGTCTTCAAGCAAGTGTGCTTTAATCTTTACGTAGCATCTTAATTTTGATTGTTGAGGAATTTTGTGTGATGTTTGAGGGAAAAGAGGTGGCAGGGACTCAGCACAGATACGTAATCAAATATGATGTGCTTATGCTGTAGTGTGAGATCTCTGATCATTTTAGTGGAAAAGAACATGCAGAATCCATCATTAACTGATCACTGCCAATTATATCTTTGGTGCATATCCAAAGCCACCAGTAAAGTATAGTTTTTTCCAAGTTTTATACTTATGTACTCTAGATAAAGCTATGATATATTTGTATTCCAGTTTTCAAAACTTCAAAGTTGAAGTTGAAAAAAGACAGCCTGCAAGCCACTTCTAGCTTTCAAACCTATTTACTTTAATAAAGTAAGACTGGAATACTATTTATTTATCTTTAAAACATATCTAGCCAAGCTCAGTGGTATACACCTGTAATTCTAACTATTTAGGAGGTTGAGATAGGATTGCAAAGTTCAAAACCAGCCTTTGCAACTTAGAGAGACCCTGTCTCAAAATAAAAAATAAAAGAGGTTAGGGATATAGTTCAGTGGTAGAGTGCTTACCTAGCATACACAAGTCTGTGTGTTCAAGCCCCAGTACCCCAAACAGGAGAG